CATTCCTGCTGGACGTAGCAGCCGGACGCGAGACGGCCGTCGCTCTTCAGGCTAACGGCACGCCTGTTTCACATCTCGAGCTGGATTCCACCACTTGCTTTCCTTCTCGTCGGGCTACTTTGTTGGCGCGACATGCAGGTGCCGCGCAGCTCCCCAGCTTCCAGCCCCGCCCGGTCCCGCATGCCCCGCCGTCTCTCATGTGCTGCTCCTGCTCCGACGTGCTCAGTCTGAGGTGACGTAGCGTTTGCACGTTTGTGCGTGGCTTTCGGCTAAATCATGATCGGCTCATTTTTCTTTTTCTCCGAAATTCGATCAGTAACCTTAGGTCAGTATCGGCCCGACTCCCGCTCCTAAATATCGCTCGGTCCCTCTAAATTTCATCGCCAGGATCACATATATATTCAATCTTAAGTTCATTTACCTGTTACTACCACACACCAAATCCGGTCGTTGGTACTTGCTGGCTTGTGTACCACAAAAGCTCAACACTGCGCCCAGCATCCTGGAGCACTTCTGTTGTCTTTTGTACGTGTTTTGAGTTTGTACGTGCTTCTGAGTTTGTACGTGTTTTTACGTGTTTTGGAGTTTTTACGTGTTTTGGAGTTTGTACGTGCTTCAGGAGTTCGTACGTGATTTGAAGTTTGTATGTGCTTTGTCTGTAGGGGCCACCGTAAATATACTTTTATTTATTCACTCCACATAAAATGTAATAAATAAATCATATAATACAAAAATCAACTATTCACATTTCAACTTTTAACTATTTAAATTTTCAGCTTTTTCCTTTTACAAATTTAAAGTGAAACAACACAAAACACTGCAAACCACAACACAATTAAATATAAATTATAATATGAAAACAAAAAGAAGATGCATATTCTCTGTCATATGGACCTGCATGAATAAACTTTCTGAATCCTTTATCATCTGCAACCGAAAATAGTTGTGGATGATTACTATACCTTTCTAATGTGACGTTGTTGTCCCTGGTCTCTCTTTCTCGTCCATATCAAATGATCACTATGGCATTACTGAGAGTTGAAAAACTGTCTAAAGTCTTTCATCTTTAATAAAATGATCAGCGTTCTGCTCTACCAGGTGTAACAATTGAGTTTAACATCCAGGCATCCATGAAAACGGAATTTATGACATTTAACGGAGTTAGAAGTTAGCAGGGAGTTAGCTCGCTAGCTTCTATCTAAATACAATATAGCATGTCCTGACTGCGGGGTTTTGGAAACAAATTAAAACGTACAGCTCTGTTATCACTTCCAACATAAATGAAGACAGAAAACTAAACAGCAGTGACGTTTGTAGGGTTACTGAAGTTTGGCTAGCTGGTATATAATGATGTGCTACGTGACCGCTAGCGACACAGCTATGTTAGCATAATATAAACAAGCTAACTTTTTTTCCACTCGATAAAAGTTAACGTGAGTGTTCTCGGTGGTCAGGAACAAATGTAATCGCATGGCAGGATGCTGTAAAAGGACCAAACTTCAGCCAGGAGAACAACTGAGATAATCCATCCACAATACGAGGTTAGTCATTCATATACTGCTGCATGGGCTGGGCTGTAGTTACATCATAAGGTTTTAAAAACTGAGCTTAAATAAATGATTAGTGGTAATAAAAGCCGAGGGAGGTCAACAGTGATCACTGACTGTTTTAGGAGCTTTTTGAGATCAAATAGAAGAAAATACAAAACATTAAACATGTTAACAACACAAAAGCCATATTAAACGCAGACTACTTTAGGCCCGGAAGTAGGATTCGTCGCGTCATCACTGAACAACCGGATAGGCAGAATGCAGAATGTAGCCTGCCTCTCTTTCTCTCTCTCTGGCTCTGTTCCTGTGCTACTGAGTGTAATTACCGCCCCTCCCCCCTCTGCCCAGCGTAAAGCACAAGGCTCGCGTGCAGAGTGAAGCGGAAAAAAGTGGGAGAGAGAGGCTGAGAGAAAGAAAAAAAAAAAACAAAAAAAAACCACGTGACGGCTCGCGATAAGGAGCCGGCTCGCGTCGTTCACGTCAAAGAACCGGCTCTAAGAGCCATTTCGTTCGCGAACGACCCATCACTATAAGGAATGAACTAAAAAAAGCCACATCCAAAATCTCCCTTACCACTGATGCTTGGACAAGTCTGGTCACAGAGTCCTACTTAGGGGTAACTTGTCATTTCATTATTTGTTCAAAGACGCCATTGCTGCTGTTTGTATATTATCAATTTTTTGCTATGATTTCCTTTGTTATATTTGTTTTGCAAAACATTTAATTTTTTGTTAAAAACAGAAGATTGTAGTACAATGTTATTGTGGATTTTGTTTTGTGAATGAAGAGCACTTTTTGGCAGAAAGCAAAGTGAATGTTACATTTTGTTTGTTTAAAGACACCATTGTTGCTATTTATTTGAAATGTTTTGTTAACTTTTCCTTAATTTTATATATGTTTGCACATTTCATTTCTTGTTAAATGCTATCTCTATTGTATTGATTGTACGACCTCTACAACTTTATTTTGCAATTTTTTTTATTAAAAGGTCTTCAAATGAATAAATTTGTGTTTTTCATTTATATACATAAATTAATAAATGTGAAATTGCTATACAAGTCAAATAATGGGGAAAAAATCGTTAATCGAATCGAAATCGAATCGGATTGAAAAATGAATCGTTAGATTAATCGATGCATCGAAAAATTAATCGCTAGATTCATCGATTAGGAAAATAATCGTTTTGCCCAGCCCTACTCCACACATAGACTTGGTTCTGCTTCTATGCCCCAGCTTTGTTTACTTTTTCCCACCGAGGCTTCTAGACTTCTGATTGGCCAACATTTCTGCACGGTTAGGAATCTAGCGCCACCTGCTGCTTTGGCATGTTCATAGCAGCGTTTTCCTTCATTTCTCCCTTTATGTGTGGACGGGATTATTTTTTAAAACGAAAACGGAAAATCTCCGTTTTCAAAAATACCCGTGTACGTGTGGACGTAGCCTCAGTCTCTGACTGGAAGCGCTAATTCGTCATTCGGCTTTTGTCAGACTAAAGTAACTGTTAAAACTGTTTGAAAAGCTAAGCTATACAACAAGGAGAGATTGAGAATTTCCTTTTAGTTCTCAGTTTATTTGATATTGACAAAAGTTAGTCAGTTTTGTCTGTTCTTCTGTAAAACAAACTAAGATTTATTTTTAGAATTAATATTTTGTTTCTAAGTGGAATTGACAATTTAGTCTGTTTCGTTTGTTCTATTTTGAAACTTAAACGCTTTAGCGGCTGCCTTTTGTGTAGTTTGCAATATTTGCCTTTATTTATCTGAAAAAGTCTCATGTTCCTTAAGTACATCTACCCTGTTGAACTTATTATGGGAAATAAATATTTAAATAAAAACAAGCTGCTGATTATTTCACATTTTACTTGTGAGCAACGGCACATTTAAATCTTACAAATATAGTTATTTGGCTTATATCGTGATAGATATCGTTATCGCCTGAAATGAAAAAAACATATTGTGATATGAAAAAATCTTATATCGCCCAGCTCTATGGCAAAGTATTGAGAATTCTAACCTCTTACATTCTGTTTCTGTGGAGAAAGACACTCCAGTGATTTACTTTATATTTCATCATTTAGTGGCCCAAATATTTTGAACATAGTGATAGAGAAAACCCGTGCTATTTTGCCATTTTTAGTAAGAAGAAAAAGCCACTCCATCTATCATCCATCCATCCGTCCATCTTCTTCCACTTATCCGGGGCTGGGTCGCGAGGGCAGGACCCCAAGCAGAGAAGCCCCAACGATCAGGTGCCATTCCCCGACCTGGAGGCACAGAGGAAAAAACCCTCTCCTCCACTGGCAGAAACCCTAACATACAGCCAGCAAGCCAAGGGGATACCATGTTCCCTCAATGGTCTTGTCATAGGGGTCTTATATGCCACTTGAATTTTAAAATTGTATTTTGCTCTTTAGGATGTGATTTACTTGCAAAAAGGGAAGTCAGAGGATTGTGGATTGGGTGAGAAGAGTGTGGAGACCCACCATAAAGAAGAGGTTAGTGGGACTAAACTACTTTAAATGTGGTAAAGATTAATTGGAGTTGCACATGAGCTAACACATAATTACACAATGAAAGGTAAAATCATCAAGAAAACAATCCATTTTCTCTGTATAAGTATTTAGTAATCAGGTTCAGTATTGACTGATGAAGGAAAGCTGATGTAATCAGTCAGTTGGCAAAGTACTAACCTCTTAAGTTCTGTTTGTGTGGAGAAAGACAGTCGAGTGATTTACTTTATATTTCATAATTTAGTGGTCCAAATATTTTGAACAAAGTGATAGAGAAAACATGCTATTTTGCTATTTTTAGTGAGAAGAAAAATCCAGTTCTTGTCTATATGCCCCTTGAATTTTAAAATGGTCTTTTAATCTTTAGGAGGTGAGTTCCTTCCAAAAAGCAAAGTCAGAGGATAGTGGATCAGTTGAGAGGGGATCGTTGCACACAGAGGTAAGTTGGAGTAAACTGGTTTTAATTGTGCATATATGAGTTAGACAAGTCGATGGCTTGTATAACTTTAACTTGCAAGATGTACTAAGTGTACTGGGGTTAATGTTTAATTTAATTCCATGATGTATCTTTTTAAGCAGGAACCCACAGTGACTTCTCTCTGAGGCCCAAAAAAGATGGTGAGAGTGCTGTCAGTCTGGTCATTGTGTTGTAGTTGTTCTGAATCCAAGTTTTCTGGGTGCATCATGGGCTATTGCAGATGTTTTCTTTAGCCTTGTAGGACCTTGCTTCCACATATCGTTAGCTTCATAGCATAAGTGCCTAAGTCATTTTTTGGTCAAATTGCATGTGATATTTAAAAATATGCATGTGATATTTAGAAAATTAGTTTTTTCTTGTTTTCCGAAAACACAAAAAAATGACTTAGGCACTTATGCTATGAAGCTAACGATATGTGGACGTCACATTTTAGGTTGTCTAGACAAAAATACAAAATTTTGCTCTACGAGGGTCTCAATTCCACTTACGAGAACATTATACTGCCTCTGTTCTATCAAAATGTAAAACAAATGTCCTCATAAGTGGGTCTCATTTTTCTCAGAAACAAAAATCTGGTAAATTCTTTGTTTTTACACTCATCAGGTCCCAATCAGCCCAAATAGCAAAGAGAAATTAAAAATGCATGCCATGAAAGAGATCGCGTCTTAGCACATTAAGCTAGGATTTGGCTTACCAGGATAAAGAAATCTGATGCAAGTAATCAACTGTCAGATTATTAAGTAGTGGAGACTATGAATTGTTGTTGGTGTGCATGTGGCTTAACTCACACCAAATTAAAACATAAAAGTTAAAATCTTTGGGAACATTCATGGCTTTAGTTAGATTTCACTGAGTAACCATACACAGATCCTCCCTTCTTTACAAGACATATTGAGAAGACACTGATTTACATGTGAGCATCTTTGTTATATGAAATGGTCACATGCCCTAAATGTCTTTACTTTTTTGCTTTTGTGTTATAGCCAGAAGACATGGGTGTCACAGTTCCAATGGATGATCAGGACATCCAGTTGCCACGTCTGGACAGATGTTCAAAGTGTTTATGCTTTTATCATTTCAATTTTGTGTTCGAAAAAAAAAAAAAAAGCTTAAAGGCTGAGTCACAAAAAAAGTTCAAGACACCCTTGAAGGAAAAACAAAGTTCTTTATGTTTTTGCTAAATTTAAATCTGCTTTAAAAAAAATGAAGGATTTGTTAGTATCTGTGTTCTAAATGTCAAACAAAATAAAGATATTTCAGTTCTGTGGACTTGTATTTATCAGGACTAAATAGCAACACATAGAAAAAAATGATTTTGACAATACTTTAATTTTAGTATTTTTATTCATAATTATTTGGATCTGGAGCAGGTAACTAGTACTTTTAGAAATATGGCCTTCTATGTAAGCATTGGGTCAAAAATAAATCTACATATCAAGATGCTGGGTCATTCAAAATACAATAGTGGAATATTGGGTGCTTTCATTTGACTCAACATCTTTTATTACTTCAAATCTTTCTGAGCTATTGGTTGTACTAAGTTGCTTGATTCAACCAACATTCAACTACATTACCCCTTATTAGGGATGTCCAGATCCGATCACGTGATCGGAAATCAGGCCCGATCATGTGGTTTCAGATTCAATCGGGGCTGCATCAGTGGCGGAGCGGGGTTTTTTTTTTTACTGGACTTAAGCCCGGGTTGTTTTTTCAGAAGTCTTTTGGAGTGTAATTTTTCATAGTTAGATGCCTGACTTACAACTGTATAAAACAAAAACTACACACAATATTCGAAGCACATAGTGCACACTGTGAGAATTTACGACTGTGCGTAAATCCCCCCTAATATTGGTATGATCCGAGCTCAGACACTAAGCGACTGAACGAGGGGGCGGGGGGAGCTGCTGCCTGCCAGTGCGCTTTCGGAGAAGTGGAGACCGGCAGACAGAGGGGAACTGAAGTTTGACCAGGTACCAAAGAAAATCATTCATACTGTACAAATAATGTAAATATGACGGTGAAAGATTGATATCAAACTGATCACTTGACCCATATTACATTACTTGTTCTTCAAGTGAATCAACAAATGGCGAAGTGAAAAGCCGAACAACAACAATGCTGTTTCTTTAGAGAGTCTTAGCTTACATGTGTGTTTATTTCATATTTTCAGTTGTTACAGTCTTTACAATTAAGAAATACAGATAGTTTCTGTCTTTACTCTTAAAGTTAACAAATATTTTTTATATTTATCAATCTAAAAAAATATAAACATTTAGTCTGATTTGATGTTACAATTAAAAAAGTGTTTGTGTTTTTATCTGAAGAGTATGTAAATATCTGTTTTCAACTGTATATTTGATGATGTTGGTGTTTGGCTTGATTGTCAGCACAAAGAGAGAGAGGAACAGAGATGAACAAGAGCAGGTGAGACACACATGTTAGTCAAATGGTTGTTTACCAAAAGTATCACCGTATCATAGGTCCTCATGTATCTCGTAGTGTTTCTTTTTAGGTTTGTTATTTTTCAAATTCTATATTTATTAAGTTTTGCAGCTTGTTTGCACAACAAGGCTAAATAATTATATAAACTTTTCTCAATCTAAATAGTGGACTTTGGTAGAATTAAAAAATAAGTGTAGTGCAGGTCTATGATGATTTTAGTGCTACTATCATCTAGTTCTGATTCTGGTTCTGTCTTGGTTAAGTCCTCAGTAGTCCTGATTTTGAACTGTTGTAGTCCTGTTTTAATTATAAACAGATTAAGAACAGAGGCGGTGGTTTACGACACCAACTGTCTGCCATCTATAATTCAGTTTTGAGTTCCCTCCCCAGACGCCTTAACGCCCACTCACATCCTGGGCCATCTGACCTCAGGAAATCACATAAGGTGGGGCCAGGTTTCACTTGAGCTCACCCAAAACCTTGGCTGATTGGGACCCACACCCGCTTTCACACCTTGGCTCAGGTGATTAGAGGATCATCAGGGGTCCTTTTGTCCCTCTTTGGGGGACTCCCACTGGGTTTAAATCTGGGACTCTCCACCATTTGACCTTAGAACTGAAGAAGCTTCTCGGATGAGAGGTGAAACGTCTTCAAGCAACTTAAAGAAGTCCAGACGCTTTTCTTTGCAAGCTCCTTTGACTACGATGACCTGGATGACTGAGAACCTTCACAAACATACTGTTGTCTTTCTGGTTTACTTGTCTGTTACAAACAATGTTTAAAGATTAAAGAATGAGTGACAAAAGAGGATTAGCACAGCCGTGGTCAACAGTTTTGGGAGTAGCACAAAATTATTTCATTGTTTCATTCAGTGTGCCATTTCAGTTTTTATTTTATTAATTTTTATATGCTTACGTGATCTAGTGAAGAACATTCACAATTGCAGAGAAATAAAAATGTAGGTTTAATTTTGGACACTACTGTAACTGACAAATCCTTGAGGACAAACAAAGTTCATTCTGTTTTTCATGAAGAAATCAAAGTACTTAGTGATAGCTGTGTATTAAATGTTCAAATAAAACAAAGAAATTTGAGATATGTGGACAGTTTTATCTTGTTTTATTAAAGCGTAAATACAAAAATGATGTTAAACATTGATTTGGCAAGTTCTTTTTGGAAATCATTCCAGTGATTGTAAGAAGCATATGACTAGTTCTTTAGGAAATACTTAAAGAACTAGACATGTTGGGTGTTATGGTCCCAAAACACCAAAATCATGTTAGATATGACCCAACAATGGGTCTTGTACTGAGAAATTTGTTCAATGATGAGATGTTGGGTTAAACCCGATATCTCAATATGAGACCCAGGAGCTCTTTACAAACCTCTTACCTCATGGTGTATATCGTCTGTATTGAGATGGTGGGTCATAGGGCTTGACAAAGGACTATTGGCCACTGACTAAACCTATGAGATGTGAAAATTGGTATGAATTCGCAGTGATGCTGCTAGTTTCAGACACACCGCAAAGGGACTGATTATCCTGTCAAACTCAGTATGTATTGTGGTGACCATTTGCGGGTCTCCATTCGCAGAGCAATGTCCTTTGCCCACCAACCAACCATTTTGTCCTGTAGTGTATGTTGGAACGGTTGAATGGTGTTGATCAGCCTATCTGAGTTTATGGTTAACTGACCTGAATAGAGCCTGCCCAGTGCGATCCCACACCAGCCAACTGCGCTGTACATGATGTTGAATAGAGGGCACCGCCAGTACTGCCTCCTGCTCCGGGAACCTTGGTGGCTGATAACCTAGAGAGACTTCAAACGGAGAGCCACCAGAAGCAGATGATGTGGGTGTTTTATATGCACACTCTGCCCAGGGGAGGTAAGTGGACCAAGTAACTGGATTATGGGTGGTCATACAGCGGAGTGTGGTTTTGAGTTCTTGGTTAAGTCTTTCTCTCTGACCACCAGATTGGGGATGGTACCCAGAACCAGGCAGGGTTTGGCTCCAATGTCAGTGCAGAAAGCCTTCCAGGCCTGGGACCTGAACTGCGGACCGCGGTCGAAGGCCATGTAACTGAAAAACCTTTATCACCAGAATATTAGCAGTTTCTGTGGTAGTGGGTAGTTTATCTAATGCTACAAAGTTAGCAGCATTGGAAAATCTGTCAATGATAGTGAGAATAGTGGTTTTGCTTAATGATACAGACAGCCCTATGACAAAATCCAATGCAATGTGTGACTATGGACAGTGTGGCACGGGGACAGGCTGTACTAGTCCATGATGGCCATTGCGTGTTAGACTTATTTCATGCACAGACTGTACAGGCAGCCACATACTCCCTGACATCTTTCTCTAAGATGTCCCACTAGGTGTCTCAATTAGTGAACTTGTCCTAGCTCTCCCTGGATGACATGCAAATTTTGCGTTATGTATCCAGTCCAGAACCTCAGAACGAGCTGTGGTGGGCACCAAACTTTGTTTAGCGGCTGGGTCGAGCTCTGTCCCTAAGACCAATCTGATCTCTTCCTCCACCTACCACACAACTGCCCCACCTTACAGCTGACAGGTAGGTTGGAACGAGCCTCCTCCACTTCTCTTCTGGAGGCAAACTGTGGGGAGAGCACATCTGGCTTGAAGTTTCAGGAGCCTGGCCGATACCAGATGGAGAAGGGAAAACGATTAAAGAATAACAACCACTGTGCTTGGTGGGCATTCGATCAGTGTGGAGGTAAGTGACGTGGTTATGGTCTGTGCATACTACAGACCATACTGTGCATACTACAAAGGTTTTTTTTATTTTTAAAAACCTTTTGAATGAATTAAACCATTCGTTTTAATTCATTTTACATTTTTAACTATTTAAATATAATAAATTATATTATTTTAATTATACAGTTTTTAATTCGTGTGCTTTCCCTTGGCGGCTCCACTGCTCTGTCCGTTTGGAGGAAGGTTTCCCTCCTTTAAAAAAAACACTGTGGAAATAAAATCACCTTCGCTCCGTTACACATATTACAGGATATATTACAGCAGTGAGCTTGAACTCTGGGTCAAAGATTCTGTATTCTGTAAAAACTAAATTTTCACTGCTTTTATGACCTTTTTAGTGGGGAGAACATAGCTAGGATTTATTGATTTAACAAATCTTTTGAATCCTTTGTCCTCCACAGTGCTAAATGGCTGGGAATCCTCAATCACCATGCTAACCAGGTCTTCGTCTATTTGAGATTGCTCTCCTCAGGAAAGACAATAAAGACAAAGCACAAATATAAATATCACACACGTAACTTAAAACAGTTGTATAATATTGTTATATCATTTAGTAACATTACAGCATGCTATGTTATCATGGCATTTGATGGCTCACCTGGTCTTGCTCCACAATCGGTGTTCCCCCTATTCTCATGCAAAGCTCTGTAGTGCCTAAGCATGGATGAGGTGTTGTTGTTATATCCCAGCTCCCTGGCACATAGCAAAACTCCTGCCACAAACTGGCATCTCCATCATATTTGTGAATGATCAGCTTAGGAAGCTTTACCGATGCTCTCTGTGCCAATGAATGAGCAGAGCTAGCGTCACTCACCCTTTGATGCATGGCTCGTTCGCGGCAATCCTCATTTCTCTTAATTATGCGCCGTGCACGGCTCTTGGACAGGATGATGCGCTCCTTATATTCCTCTGAGCTTTCGATCTCCATTTCCAGGTCATCCAGAGCTGTTTTACGTTCTATTTCACTATCTAAGGCATACAAGCTGAGCTCCTTTGCCGACAGCATTTCCAGTAATGTGCTCAGATGGTCAGATGGTCAGATTTGGTTTAGCCATTTCAGAGTCAATTTGATGTACAAGTCGTGTGGTAGCACCTCTTATCGTCCCACGTTTCCGTTTTGTTCTTTCCATTTCTCTCTGATGCTCGTTATCCGCCACTCCCGCAGCTTCGGCGGCAGCGGCTCCACGTAAGTCCTGTTCGCTCATTTCTCCCGGGTTTCGGCACCGCACCAAAAAATGTTGTGGCGAATCCACTTAGCCAAAAAATGGATCGGACATCAGTTGTAGAAACGATAGTCTTTATATGAGGCTTCAAAAAGGGGAATGTACAACAAATAAACTTCTCGACATAAGAGTAACATATAATGGCTTCTCAAAACTTTCTTTGCTAGCTAAAAAAAAACCCAGAGTAACTTTCGTCTACCACAAAGGATTCTGGGAAACGCAGTTTTCTAATGAAAATACCTGTTAAATGAAAATTAAATCTATAAAT